GCCGGCTCCGGGCGCCCGCCCGCCGGCCCCTCCTCCTCCCGTCTCTCTCCGCCTCCTCCGCCTCCCTCCTCCCTCCCCCTTTCAGAACACTCAATGTCGGAACGTTCCGAAGATGACGTCGGAGCGTTCTCGAATCCCGTGTCTCTCGGCTGCTGCTGCCGAAGGAACAGGGAAAAAGCAACAAGAAGGAAGAGCAATGGCGACACTGGATCGCAAAGTGCCCAGTCCGGAGGCGTTTCTGGGCAAACCCTGGTCCTCCTGGATCGACGCCGCCAAATTACACTGCTCCGACAGTAAGAACCCCACCGCCTCCTCCTCCTTTTATTATCCTGTAACCTTTCCATTCACCTACAGCCACTGGGAAAAAGTGTGTGTATGAGAGAGAGAGTGGCCCCCGGTGTCCTCCATGCTTCTCCCTCTCTCTCTAAATAAATATACACGGAGACAGATCATCAGTGAACAGAGATATAGGCCCGGCTGCCAGGGCTGTCTGTCTGTATGTCTGTGCCCGGCTCCCGATGGCAGCCCGCGGGGTGGGTTTTCACAGCCCCACGTTGTATCTGTTTAAAAGGCTACTCTGTTGCTGCTTGCATAGTTTTTTTGGTACCTATCTGGGCCAGGTAGATGGAAACCCCGACTTGGGAGAAAATGTTGCATTGTCAAATTTTGAAAGATTTTCCTATACAGTATATCGATCTGTTTGCAAATAAACACTCTCCCTCCCCCCTTGACTTTGGCTTTTTTTTTTTTCCTTCCTTATTTTCCCCTCTTTTATTCTTATTTTCTCTTTTCTTTTTCATCTGCAGATGTAGATTTAGAAGAGGCTGGAAAAGAGGGTGGAAAAAGCAGGGAGGTTATGAGGCTTAATAAAGAAGGTAAGTGGAGCTACTGGCATTTTAGTGTTAGCATGTGTGGCAGAATCTTCACAAGATTTCGAATATAATGTGAATTGTTCAGCTGGGTACAGAGTGACTAAGCCTTGTCAAAAATTGAGCACACCCAGGTGACTACCGCTTCATGTTAACTTCTTTCAGAGTGTAAATACAACTGGGGGCTAGAGAGGGAAGACTGTTGAAGGCAGAAGTTTTCTGCACTTCGGTTGGAGTCCACACTTGGACGTTCTGATGTGTTTCTGTTTGTTGCCTTAGCATCATTACCAAGCATCATTACCAAGTGGTGAAGGGTCAAAATCTCTGAAATGAGGGATGGGACTCCTATCACAAGCATCCCAACATTCTTTGTGGGTAATTGCACAGCAGTTTAATGAACCCCACATGATCAGTCATTTCAGCAGCTACTTCTCCACTCCTCACTGAAAACAATCGTATGTGGCAAACCTCTCCAGCAAGTTACATTTGGTCCACTTGGCATTTGGTCACAGATTGTTACATGGCGAGCAGGGGTGGAGCATCTGTGTATGCAGCCCCCCAGCAGTCTCCCATCTCTGTTTTCTCAGCATGACACAGTATCTGAAATGGGACACAGTGAGTAGATAGATTATCCCAAACTAAGACACGGAGTGAAGGCACAGCCTGCTGGAACTGGGCATTGAACACACATGGTCATCGTAAATAAATCGTATCCCGTCCACGTTTTCAAGCCTACCATACGTAACTATGGCCTATGGGTTTGAAATGGCGCAACTCCAGAGGCCACTTTCTGCTGAGCGAGTGGATGGATTTGTTTGAATTGTGGTTCACTGATGATGTCTTGTAAACATGATTGGCTGAAATTGGGAGTCGGGGGAAGGCACAAAGGGGTAGAAGAGGTTGATGGGAAGTGTTGAAAGAGTTCAGACTTAACAAGGCAATAAGAGCATCACTAGTCCAAAAAGAGTGGAAGACAAAGCCATTAGATGCCAAGGAATGGTCTCATAAACATGGATGTCAACCCTGTAAGGCAGCTGAACCCTGCTTGGAAAGACATAATTAATTTTGTGGACTGACACCTATGACAGCTTTCTATGCCCTGTCATTTTGTGACCATCCACTGAGGAAAATTTGTGCTTCTGGGAGAAAAAAAAACAAAACATGGAGGTTAAAATGCATGCATATTCAAGGACAGTTCTCTGGCATAGTGTTTCTGCTAATTAAGCACTTTGATTGGGAAGGAAACCTTATTCTAAAGATGTTTGCCTCTAGATATCTTAGTGTGATCTTGACATGGGTCTAAAGGATGCACGGGGGAATGATGTCAAGTGGACTTCTTACAAGTGGCAGCTTATTTGTGCTAAATGTCCATGTGCTTTGGCAATGGAAACTCGCTAGAGATTGTTTTCTTTACAAACTCTTGAGATCTTTAAAGACTCAAGGGACTCAGTTATCAGACCACCAGCAAGGAAAGGTTTCCATGAAAGCCAATGATGTTAGGAAAACCCTTAGAATAGAGTTGAGTGAAAAGGTCATCGTATGGCACAGCATTGGCATCGCTAGGCCTGTTTGATGGATTATGACGACAACACAAAACTCATATTCTGCTCCTTCTTTCCTCTTGTATTTCAAACGACTCTTGTTCTCAGATTCCCTATGTCTCGTGAGAAATGGATTCTTTTAAGGAAAAATGAAAAGCTCTGCTTTCCTCAGAAGTCACAAGCGGTACATCCTGCTTATTATGTCCTTTGTCCTGTAAAGGTACAAAGATTTAGCTTCTAATTATATGCATTTGCATTGAGGACACCCACTGTTCAGTGTAACATGCAATTGCTGAGTTCACCAAAATAGCCACGTATGGGCTGAAATTTCTTTGTTCACAGGCCTGGTGGAGCAGACTTGGGTGAGCAGTTCTGGTATATGCACACAATTTTCCCTATGGATGAAATATGCATATATCAAATACATGTTCCCCCATGGTATAGAAGGTAAGGGGTGAGCTTGAAATCTGTGTCTGAACTACTGGTTGCCGGGATATCCAGAAAGGCTTGTTGCAATAATCTTGGTGGAGTTACATGCATGCAGGTCTCAGAGTGAGTACACATTTGTGGTGTGTCACTGCAGGACAGAAAGTGGCCTGTGCCTAACTGTGTATATCTCTGTCTGAACGCACATAGGGTACCATGACGCTACTGGAAGTAAGCAGGTCTTGAGAAAAAATTTGGGCTTGAATAGTGATGAAGGAATAAAATAAGTTTCGGAATTGTGATTGTGAAATGAAGGGATTTGATTTGGATTTTGAGAAGATATTTTTTACAGTCTGAGCTCAGGGAGGGAAGGTTGACTGGAAATAGAAAATAAGAATCATTTCACCTTTCTGGCCACAGCTTCAGAAGACACGGGAAGGACTTGCAGACTTTTTCAATAACCTGGTGGTTGTAATATAGTTTCTTCTCCATTTTTCATTCCTTTAACCGTTTCTACGTCAGTTCTCTACTTGTATCAGGTGTAAATGTCAGCTGATTGCTTTGAGTCTCTGTAATAAAGTCAATGTTATTATTTCATCTGGAATTAGCAAAATTTCTGGCCAAGACAAATTTGGCAGACCAGCATTCCCTTCCACGTGCTTCTGAACCTGACCAAATCATGACCTGGGTTCAGAAGGTGTTGCTAATTCCGTGCTTGGATGTGGGTGTATGAGGGACATCCAGGGCAGTGTGACACCATGAAAGGAACAGGAGAGAGGGCTTTGAGTCATGGCTTCCTAAGTTCCAATGTGTGACCTTGAGGATGTCACTTCCCTTCTCTGGGCTGATTCTCTTACCTGCGAAGTAAGGAGGAGGGACTACATATATGGTCCCTTTAAGACCTCTGAGCCTAAGCTTCTTTCTTTCTTGTGTGTGCTTTGGGATGCCATCGTATCATTCAGGCTGTTTTCACGGAAACTTGGGGAAAAAAATCAAACACATCAAAACTATTTTAAAATATTTCATACTGGTTTATTTTCTTGGTTTATATCCTCTTGGTGGCAAAAATCACTGTGTATCATACACATGCATATTCTGAATAATCCGAACCCTGCAAGTAGTTTCTGTGGCCTTCGGGACTCGAGAAAACTGAGGTTGGGTCCAAATCCCTGTGTAATGTGCTCCTCAGACTGGTGAGTTTGTTGACCTCCGTCAGCTTGGATCACTCAGGCATTTAGATTTCCTAAGAGTGCAGTTCCCAGAAACCTTATTCGCTTAATCTAAGATGTGAAATGTGTTTATGGTAGAAAATTCCAAGGGAAGACCATTTGTCTCTGCTAACCAAATTTTATCTCTCCAGCTTAGTCAATTTTATCTGAAGACTCTTTACAAGTTTGGGAAAAAGCTCTCAGTGATTTAGAAAGATGGTCGCCCCTTTTTCAAATGGCGTCACGGGCACTTTTTCTTGATAAGAATGCCAGTTCACAAATGTGGAGCCTGGTTCACGTGGCTGAGTGTCATTAAGTGTAAGACCAATATGCTAACAGGCTGTAAAGATTCAGTGAGAGAATATGAAAGGGCTTAGTAAACGGTAAGTGCTTAATGAATGTTTGTTTTTATTCCTTATTTTATTCTGAATATTACTATTACCCTCATTTATTAATGAAGCTAGTTGTAGAAAACTTTCCTATTCTTATTAGCTGGGAATTTTAACTAATCATTGATGAAAGCTATGTTGTTGTTGTTGTTATGTGCCGTCGAGTCGGCCCCGACTCATAGCGACCCCTCCTTGGGTTTCCAAGGCAGTATCACTACGGAAGTAGGATTGCCCAACCTTCCTTCCGAGGAGTGGCTGGTGGGTTTGAACCGCCAGCCGTCTGGTTAGCAGGCAAGTGTCTTAGCCACTATGCTACCAAAGCTATAGATGTGCTATATAAGAAACTTCATTTTTAGAGTGTTTTTAAGCCATTTTATTATTTATAAAGTAATGATTTTTGAAAAGTAATTTCTATGAATACTGTATTTTTCAATGGAGTGCCTTTAATAAGTGGCTGTTGATATGTTTTATCAAAGGTTAGAGAAAAATATTGGGTCATTTTTGGCCTTTGGCTAGGAGGAGTTTACAGAGTTCTTTCTGGGAACTAGAAAATCTAAAGAAATTAAAAAAGGATTAATAAGCTGTTTTATCTCATTTCTGAGAAAAGAAAGTCCTCAGCACTCCATTGGTTCTTGCTTGGGTCTTTTGGAAGCCTATACTTGCCACCTCAGGCACTTGTCTGTGTTTTAATGTTCCCTTTGATTTTATGGAGGTAAACTTGTGGAATGCTTCCAATTTGAAAACTGTGCTGGGGCCAGTAAGATGTTGCTGCAACTGTTAAGAGTTGGCTGTTACTCCAGAGATGCTGGTGGAATTGGGCTGGAACAGGACGTGGGGGGAGCAGAAGTATCAATGGGAACATTTCAGCCCAAGTTGAAGAGGCTTGCAGTTGTTATTGCCGGATGGGAGCAACTTGTGGGGGGAAAGATGGCGAAGAATGAAGTTGTTCTTAGAATCCAAGCCACAGAAGCCAGCAACAAGTAGCAGAGATTATGGGAAAGTGCAGATGGCTTCCCTTTATCGTTATAGGGACAACCCCATTATCTGTGTTAATAGGAGATGGGAAGGCATGAAGTCCGCAGATTACACGGATAAACTTCATTTTCTCCATTAATTTCAACTTCTTTCTCCAGTAAGCCTACCTTCCTCCTCTTTCACTAACAAGTGGTAATATTTGTTCACTTTGGCATTTCATTATCATCTCTCTTCTCTTGTGTAGTGTTTGGGATGGAAGGACAGGAGAGACTGACTGGCCTAAAGGTGGTGGGGAGGGAAGATGAAGAGGCGGAGGGGTAAGGGGTTGGAGAATTAGTAAGCTTTACAGTTGCCTCCAGCTGCTGGAGAAGGGGCCAAGGGCACATTCATACCAAGACAGCAAAGCTGAGACGGCACAAGGGGTTGTCTGCAGCTAGTTTTGAAAATATAAAGCTTCTAAACTGAGT